TCATAAATATTATTTTATTACTATGTCACTTAATTTTAATCATCACAAAATTCCCATCAAAAATTTTCGCCCATATGTTATACGCATTTTATAATGTATAATTTATACTGGGGCAAAAAAAAAATATTATTAAAGCTTATTATTATAATTATTAGAGTTAATAAATTTGTATTGTAACCGTAACTAAGATTAGGTGTAACGTGAAATCAAAACAAAAAACTTTTCTTTTAAAAAAATCATTAATAACTCAAAATTTTGACTATAAAACCATCTTTTACGTTCTAACAAAAAAAAATTCCTTGTTAAATTTTGATACGTATAATTTCTGCCTTTCCTAACCCAAGCCTTACCCTAACTCTAACCTTAACCGTGAAGTTTTTATTTTTAGAAAAAAAAATTTGTTTTGATAGTCACGTTACACCTGATCATAGTTACGGTTACAGTAACATATGATCACAAATTCATTAATTCTAATTATTATATATATATATATATATTAATATGTATATATATATCTAATTATAAAATTAATTATAGGGCGTTATATTTAGGTGACTACGTATACTCTAACGTTAATTATATTAGTAATATTATTTTGATATTAAACACCCCATTAATATGGGCCATAAGATAAAGTTTTATTACTTTAATAAACTTTATTTTAAAATTTTTTTTTCGATTTGTGTAATATCACACCTGACGTTGTAACATAATTAAATGTCACACAAAATTCTGTACACATATCGATACGCCCGGGACTCAAACTTATGCATGTGCAAAAAGTAAACGTATATGCACTTAACACTAAGTCCCGGGCTTGGAACCAGCTAAAGTGTAGTTAAGGAGGGTATGTGATTATAGATTGTATATATTTGTAAAATAATAAAAGCATTCTACCCTTAAATGTTACGTATTTTATATTCCAAAATTCGAATCACAAATCTGAGTCAATTTTTAAACCACATGCGTACGTATGTACGTAACTGATACTTATTTTCTATATCTGATATATATTTTTTAGACTCATTACATAAAGTTATGTTTAAGTACTATATATAAACTTATATAGCATTTAATATATATATAATTTAATTATAAAACTAAACAAAACCCATACATACGTAACACCTAACAATAACCTATTATTTATTAAACAGACTCGATTTAGCAATACATTATTTTGACTAGTTAAATGCGTAGAAAAGGCTAAATAGAAAAGGCGGTATTGCGCAACCAATAAGTTCCAAAAACTGAAGTAAATCTTTCTAAAGTTGTCTCATCGGGAAGACAGCAAAGATTAATAAGATATTTATCGCAATGAATAGCGATAGGTACGTATGTACGTGCGTGCGTACGTACGTACTTACGTACATAGTAGGGAGATTGACAATCACAGTATATATCGATATATACGAATTATACGTATACGTACTGTACGTATCTAATAGTATTTCTATGCACATACTTATGTACGTACTTATGTACGTACGTACATAGCACTAATAAGATTACTATGTTTACAATCTATTTGCAAGTCTTTACTTCAATTGATTATAATATTAACGTGGCGTGAGAAAGATTTTTGTTTCGTTCGTAACGACTTGTAAATATTGATCGATTGATTTTTTTAAACTCTAAAAATAAAAATAACAATAATAATAATATGTAGGTAAATCTAGACAGCGCCCCTATGCAATTAGTGCTTTTATAGCCAAATAAGTAAAATTCTAGGGTTAAAGTAAAAATTACGATCATACTACGTAGGGGTTAGGGACGTTACCTCTGTAAAATTTCGAGATATTAGAGGAGGGGCACAAAGTGCATGGGGCACTTTCTAGTCCTGTTCAAAATAATAATAATAATCATCATAAAATATATACAAATATACTGTTAATGATGGAAATTACCAATCATGAACTTCATGTAAAGGAATAATATAAATTCCATAATTTTTTTCTAAACTCTCAATTTCCCTTGATTCTCTTTGGCTATACTCTTTCTTCCCTCCGATTCCAAGTACTTTTAGACACTTTGTAGTCTTTATGTAATCTGATATAACTTTTAAATGAGCAAATTCAAATTTACAATAGTCCACGATTAAAGTTCTCAAAGGAGCTTTGCAAGTTGTTAATAATTTTTCCAATTGCCCAGTAGTAAATCCGCATTCTAATCTAAGATACTTGAGATTAATAGGAAGGTTCTTTCCTGAAAAGTTTACAACACCCATTTCAACTACAGTTTCTCTTGTGATAGTAAGTTTTTCTAATTGATTAACATCTTTAAGTAAGTTTAAAAGAAATGGAACTTGTTTTGGTTGATAATCCATTATTCGAAGGTCGGTAAGTTGTGAACAATGATCAATAATTGATTGAACTACTTCCGAAGATATAGAATCCACCCATAATTGTTTAACAGTTTTTCCGGTTGCTTGAATTATTGTAGCGGTAATATTTGATTGTTTTCGTTGACCCCATAAATGTAATTTTTCCAAATGATATTTTGAATCTTGTAAACTTTTTGAGTTTTGAGTACCAAGTCCTTGTGAATTCCAAAATATTAAATTCTTTAAATTTGGACAAGAACCCAAAATTTTTAAACTGATTCCTTTAAAATTAACAGCATTGAAATGAATTGAATGTATGCTATCTACTTGAGATTTAATTGATGTTAATATCGTTCTGGTACCATTACTCGATTGAATATATCCTAACCGAAGTTCTTTTAATCCTTCTTGTTGATCGATGAGATTTGATATTGAACCAAATATTGCTTCGTCATTTTCAAATTCTATAAAATTAACTTCCAAGTATTCAAGTTTTTTGCAATATAAGTGTAAGGATTCTAATAAATCTATGATACTTTCTGATTTTCGAAAATTTATTTGAAGTTTTCTAAGTTGAGTTAAAATTCCAGATTTCGAAAATACTACAACATCGGGAATATTAGTAAAAGACAAGTGTTTGTCGATAATGAGAGTGTTTAAATTTTCACAAGATCGGAAAAACAAAGAGCATAATAATGTTGTTAAATGCTCTATTTGCACATTTAAACTGTGAGTATCTTTAACAGGTTTACGTAATGATGAGCTTAACCATGAAAATATAGCCGATTCTAATCCTTTGAATGAAAGTTCTTGTAAAAAAGATTCGTATTTGTAGGTAAGATGATGTTTTGGTAACTGAATCTTGATCTTGATTTTTTTGAAAATTCTTTTTAATGACGCCTTTTCTTCGGGGGTAATACGTGCAAGATATATTGCCAATAGCTTCGATTGATGCTCCGGAGATAAATTACGAAAAGGTCGACCCCACAAGATTGGGATTGCATTCTTGCACCAATATTTATTCACAAATAAACAAGAATAAAGTCCATTGTCACTGAGAAACTTGAATACATGTTGAATGCACTCATCCGATAATATTTGTTTCGTTTCGACTGGAATTGAACGTCCTGCTTGTCGTCTCTTGTAAATTTTTACGAAACGTCGAAAGGTTTTTCTAAAAATGTTTACCATTGTTATAACCGAATGCGTATGTATTATACGTACAAAAGGAGCAAGATTAAAAAATGGACGAGTTTATCTATTTATATTTTATTGATTTTTTAAGTACGGACGTACGTACGTACGTACATACGTACTTAAGTAAGTACGTACGTACGTAAGTACGTGATTGATGAGAACATGAGGTTAATGATATATATTGTGTAATCAGCAATTTAAATAGGCAAATTGTCAAACCTTAACGCTAAACAAACATACACACAAAATTTTATATGTTAGTTCATTTTTTGGCGACTTTTTTTTTTATTTATTTATTTATTTATTTATGGATGTCTGGACATGTTTGAGAGATTTACTTTTCTCAATTGAGATATACTTATCTTAATAATCTAACTTTTTATTTTATAATTTAGAATAATAGCAATTCAGTAAACTTTAAACAAAGAAATTCACTATTTCGGTCATTTTTTTCGACTACGTACTAAGTATTATTTTTATTTGATATTTTTTTATTTGATTAATTTATTTTATGCACTTTAGTGTGTGCGTGTGCACGTATGTATTTACGTACCGATACATAATCTATTATGAGCTTTAATAGTATGTATTTTGCCAAAAATAACAGGCGATGAAACCCAAAATATGCATAAGCTTATTGGATAAATATATAAACTTATATTCATATTATTATTAACGTTAACGTTAACGTTATAGTATCGGTATAACGATAAGTTATATAAATGTATCATATGACGGCAAGATCACGTGCATGACATTATTCAAGTGATGATAGTTCATTATCACACCTGAGACATTATATGTAAGGCTAATTAGCTAATTACGTGTTTTTTTAAAGATAATATACTTGAAAACTTGAAATTATTGGAGTTCGCCAGGGCGATCACCGAAAGTACGGTCACATTATCTGCATTATCGCCACAGCCATATCTTAATAATCAGTATATTGCTTTTGTTACATATTTTAAGAAATTTTCACAGCAATAAAGCTGCATGCAGGAGCAACAATTTTCTAAGAAATTATGCTGTGGCTGTGGCGTCTTATCATGTGATCAGACTTTTGGTGGTCGCCTTGGCGGACTCAAATTATTGAAAGACCAGGTAAGTAGTCATATTGAACTGAATTATGTGATTAACTGCACTCCTTGAATATATGCTAATTGTAAATAATTACGGAGAATTCAAGACCACATTATGGCGGTACGTACGTACGTACGTAATGTAGTGATGATCAAACAATATTTGTTATATTAATTAGTATATAGTTATAAATAGTACAGTAGTGAAAACGTATCGGCATAAAACTATATACGTAGTAAAGATACTCAATTAAATTTACAATTTATTAGCGTATTCTTTAACAATGAAAAGCTCTTTATTATTCTTAGAATTATATGTATATAAGAAAATTAAAAAAAATAGCTATGTCTCTTTCATTTTAAATGGCATATTGAATAAATATAATTTACTATTGCCACGATCTGCTACGGGTTTTCACTATGCAGCATTCATTGATAGTCACTATTACGGTAATTGAGGATATTGGCCGGAGAAATATTTAATCAGGCGGAGACTAAGTGAGTTAATGTTTTCCTTTTTTAGAGTTACACTGATTGGCTAAAATTTAAAATCCGCATTTCGAACAATGAATATTCGGCATATTGTTACAAAGAACATTTCAATTAATTGCAATGATTATTTCATTTCAATCGCATGATTGATCACCTTGAAGATGCTGCTTGAGAACGCCCTAATCATATCTATAACTTACTGGGAATCAATGAGTCTGGTAAGTTATAATTTTAGGAGTTCAAAATCCGGTTGTCTCGGCATTTTCCATGCGTACTAATTTCTTACCTGTTAAAACTATCAAAAATAACAATCCATTCGATCAAGTCACGTGATCGACGGTATTTGCCACCAAAGGAATAACTGTTCATCCGAAAAAATGATTGTTGATTTTAAAAAACTATCAATATATGTATGTAACTAAAATAATCTAAAATATGATTACATTATTAATAGCATTAACACCAGGTGGTGTGAAATGAACAGGTTTTGATGCTATATACTATATAGTGCAAATTATTATTACTCATGAAAGCATTAAAATGCTTTACTGATTCAATCTTAAATTAGTTTAATCAATATAGTTTATTACTATTATTGAACAATGTCAATTTTATTATTCGAATACCACTATAAAATTATAATTAAAATCATTTTCATAATCAGAACTTAGTAACTATAATATCAGATATTCTTAAATGCAATCAAAAACATATTCCATTCTGCTTATGAAAATAAATTTTAGAAAATGACTATCGATACAAACTTACTTATGTTACTAGCTACAACTTAATTGTGTTTAATAACTTCTTATGTAGAACATAAATAAGTGACGTAGGTAAGTTTTCATCAATAAACATAACATATTACATGAGTGCCCGCCAAGGGAAAAACCTCAAACCAGGGATTCATTTGCCTACCAGAGACATTTATGATGCGTGAATAAATTTAATTACGTATCATATATGTTTCGAATCATCGCCAAGCCTAGCAAATAATAAATAATAAACTGTTTGAGACTGTCACTCATATAATATGTATATTACACATAACGATAGGGATGTTAACTCGTTTAAAATTATCTAGGTGAGTTACAAACTGTATTAACTACTATACATAAACTAATTTTAACTACATAAAACTAGATAATTGGAATTATTGAACTACTGGACCAGATTGGATATTTGGAGAATGGACTAGGAAAACCAGGCTTCGGCATTTTTTGGATTTTCAATTTAAATTAAAATATTAGTTCTCATTTATTTGAAGTTTAAATTTGAAAAATCAATTCTTCAAAGATATAACAACCAATCAGAAGATTGTCAATTTAACTTGGCGAATTGAATTCAACATGTGACCTTTTCACATAAAAAAAATTATCTAAATAAATCAAAATTTGGGATTGAAATTTCGTGTAACGCAAACATTAATAACATTTTTTTTAAAAACTCAAACTATTTGTCGAAGTTCAGATCCAGTCTATAGTTGTGACCCGAAACCCGAAACCTGTCCGAAACCTTCAAATTAGAATGTTAA